ACAAAGGCACTGAAAAAAAGTAATTTGTGACCGTTGTTCACACTGATGACAGTTGGAGTAGCCCCATGAGTCATGTGATCAAAATTCAGACGCCTGGCATTGACTCATATTTATGAAGGTTGCAGAATCCCAAGGCCATGTGATCACCTTTTGCAAACTTCTGACAAGCAAAGTCAATGGGTAAGCCAGATTCACTTAACAACTATGTCACTAACTTAGCAACTGCAGGAATTCACCTAACAACTGTGGCAAGAAAGGTCGTAAAATGGGGCAAAATTCCTTTAGCAACTGTTGCTTACCAACAGAAATTTTCCATTCAATTGTGGTTATAAGTCAAGGGTTACCTGTAGTATTTGATAGAAATAGTTGAGAACTGGGGCAAAAAGTATAGGAAATATATAGATTTATCCGCCTTTCACCCCCCAAAAATGCTAAAATTTGTAAATGTTTAAAAAAAGCTATGGATTTTGTTTATCCAATTTTTATCCCATCTGTATGTTGCTTGGGTGTTAACAATCTATTTTATGAACATAGCCACGGGTTTGACACAAAGTTGGTTTCTTTAAATCCAAGCACAAGCAAAATATTCTGGGTTGAATGTTAGAATCCGAAAAAGAGTGCTTTGCTACCTGGAGAAATTCTTTTGGAGCTGTTTACAACAGTCTTAAAATACATTCTACCATGACATATTTACACACCATACAACTGCCCATCTTCTGCATGCTTTTAAATAAAAGCATGAAACCAAACTGTTCTAGGGATAAAATTTGCCTTTCTCATTGTTATCTGAGCACTGCAGTAGTCCAGCCTATTTTTTTCCAACTTTTCTTTCTACACTGATTCAGTTCTCTTACTGCTATCCAAAATGTTTTTTTCAGATCAACACAAATGGGAAAGTAAACTGCAGTAAAACAATATAAGAAATTGGAAAATCTACCATAGCTTTATAGCACTTTTCAGACTTCAGGGTGCTCCTCAGACAATGTCTTGGAATTCATAAGTAACCCTGTATTGTAAGTCAGCATTGGTATGCTCTCCCTCATACAGGTCAGGCACTGGAGTCAAGAGGCTGTGATTTGTCTAAAGCTACCTGCAATGTCTGTGACATATATAAGGGGGCATGGTTCAGAGGTCAAATCTCTGAGTCATTCATAATAGCACTTAGACCTATATACTGCTTTACAGTGCTTTACAGCCCTCTCTAAGCAGTTTACAGAGTCGGCATATTGCCCCCAACAATCTGGGTCCTCATTTTAGCTACCCTGAAAGGATGGAAGGCTGAGTCAACCTTGAGCCTGGTGNTCATAATTAACAACTAGCAGAGTTAAATCCAGAGGGACTCCTTTACCTTTTACAATCATATAATTGAAGGTTACGTTTAGGATCATGGTTAGGACAGTTTGGATCTTCTGAGGATGAGAAAGAGGTCTGTCTTGTCTTATATATTCCAATTCTTGAATTTCTTCTGATCATTCATCTGGAAATCTTTTCCAACATGGCATATTTGAAAAGATGGAGAACGGGATGAGATTTCAAGTGTAGTCTTACGCCATGAATGGATATATATGCCAACCTTCCTCAATATGGGTTCCTTCCAGCCATGTAGTTGTTACTTTTAGAAATTGCTGAGTAACCATGGCCATTGCTGAGAATTACAGGAATCGAAGACCATACCACTAGAGATTATCCATATTGGGAAAATACGATATATTTATTTATTTAGTAAATATGTATATGAAACCCATCTCACTGTTGAAGTGCCTCTGAGTGGCTTACAAAATGACCCCCCCCATTCTTGCAATAGAATAAAAATTGTTCAAATGGTATGGGATAGTGAGATGCCAAGATAAAAATAGACGAAAAAAATCACACCTTCCTTCAAAACGTCTTTGAATAGAGAAATTTGTTTACCTTTAGATTTTCTTGCTTCTTATAGCCAGCTTATAGATCAAAACAAAAGAACAAAACCTTTAATGACCCTTATAAATCTGCTAACCTCTAAGAAATGTATGAAGGGCCTACTTGTCTTTGGCTTAAAATACTGATACAGCTTAAAATCTGAATACAAACTGCATTTTTATTTATATGTGAAAAGCTGGGATGTAGATGTAAATGAAACAGAACGAATGTATTTTAATGAATGAGGCAAAGCAATACAAATTACAAAACAAATGTACATATAAATATATACAAACATACAGGCACACAAAGTAATTACATAGGGCCATAATAACACATAGTATAATTTTATATTGCAAAATGCTGTTCATTTTTAACTTATATTAGACTGTATGAAGTTGTGAGTGACACTCATGGAAAAATGTGAACTGAAATATGCTTTCCATTCAATGTGTCACTTAAATTTTGCCAATACATGTAGTCCTTGACTTAAAACAGTTCATTTAATGACCATTCAAAGTTACAAAGGCACTGAAAAAAAATGATTTGTGACCGTTGTTCACACTGATGACAGTTGGAGTAGCCCCATGAGTCATGTGATCAAAATTCAGACGCCTGGCATTGACTCATATTTATGAAGGTTGCAGAATCCCAAGGCCATGTGATCACCTTTTGCAAACT